AATATTATTATTATTATTACATCCTTTAATTCCTAGAGGAACATAAGGCTTCAGCTGCCCAAGTCTCCATTGCGTTCGGTTATCTGCCAACTTTTTCACCCCGCCCCAAGTCTGCCCACATGCTTCCATCTCCTCTTCACATCACCTCCTCCAAGTCACCCCACCATCGCACTGACGACCAACTCGCCGCTTCGCTTTCGGGTTCCACTCGAGCGATGGATTGTCTAGTGATGTCACTTGATGGTTTGTTTTCTCAGATTATGGCCAGCCAATCCATCTCCATTTCTTCCTGCCTATTTGTTTCACAATCGGTTCCTGGTTGGTTCGCTCATTGACAGAGATCCCAACCTGTTGCTGATCTTTTCTGGCCGGCCATCTGATCTTGAGTAGTATTGAGCGAAGACAACTGTTAATGAAGGTCTGAAGTTTGTTTGAGATGCTCTTCATGACGCGCAGTGCAAGTCTCTGATCCGTAAAGTAGCACTGACTTCACATTAGAGTTGAAAATCCGGATCTTATTTTCATCTTCATGCTGAGTGCTGTTGACCTCCACACAGACTTCAGAGTAATGAAAGCTTGTCTTACTTTTCCGATTCTGGCTTTGAAATCCTCGTCAGTTCCGTTCGCCCGTATTTGAAACGATGCTTACCAGGTAGGTAGGTGAAGGAGGTTGTTTCTTTCAGGTTCCTCCCATTTATGCTGGCTGATTGTTGTCTGTTGATGTTGTTCCTGTTGGTGTTGGCCAGGAATCTTCACCACCTCTGTTTTACCTATGTTCACCTGAGGTGAAGTCCTATCTGTGATGCTTCTTCTGTCAACTTGTTGCTTTTCACTTGTATATCTTCCAGTTTGTGGGAAATCAGACATATATCATCTGAGCTCCAATAAATTGTCCTTTATTTATAAGTCTTATAACATCTGGACAGTAGTAATATGAGCGGAAGCAACTTTCCAGTGCAGCAATTCCCTGATAGATAACAATTAGTGTTATTCCTTAAAATCAGTTGAATGCCTTCAAATCAGAACTTATTTGTTTTTAGGTTTCATGAAACTGTTGATGTTTTATTCATCATTTTGATAAATGCTGAATATAAGTAAGTTACTGTTTGACTCATATGTAATTTGATTTTCTGCAATTCAGTATAATTAAAAGGAAAAGGAATTAAAGTAATTTACTGGGTGGTGGCTGGCAGTGGAATCTTTCAGGATGTGTATTTTTTTTTCTGTAAGAGACATTTCAGTTGAATCTACCTCTAACCTCCAGTGAGTGATGGTGTTCGCACTGATACTCGAGGAATGCAGGCACGTCAAGGCGACGAGTACCAACTAGGAAGAAATACTCATTCTGATGGATCCCACTTTCAGTCACCATCCACCATATAACTTCAATTTTGTCCTTAGATATCGTCGATCCAACCGCAAAATGAGTCGACTTGTCAACAATTCTCTAAAATTTCGGCTGAGTCAGGCAACAGAAAGATCAAAATTGAATTAAAAATGTGATTAACATTTTAGGAATTGGTTAATATGACATTATCCGAGACTTTTTTAATTTATAAAAAATTTATCTATCTCCAGTTTTCATCGGAGGGGACTGGTATATGTGTGATAAAAAGTATGAAAGGGGTAAATTTCTATGGGATCTTTCTTGTGTCACATTGAGTATCTCAGTTATTTATGTAGATACTCAACACTTTTGTTTGTTTGTTTGTTTTTTCAAAGTAAAGGCTGAAACATTCTCACTTAGTTAAAGTGCTGACTGGTGGTCTGAATCATATGATGACTATAAGAAACCACCTTGAAATCTTCATAATGTAAATGGCCACTGATTTCACAATAAGACTACTATAGTGAGCTCCGTTAATCGCTTTTTAAACCTTCTAAAAACTCTCATTCTTTGCTTCAAGTTCGGCAATTGACTGATATCAGTTGCTGAATAGTCACTCAGTTTGGCCTCGTAATCTGAAGGCCTTGGGTTCAATCCCTGGCTGCTGATGAGTACTGCCGATGAGTCCTAAACTAGGACGAAACACCAAACCAGTAATCTCAGGTTTTCCGGTGATTCTCTAACCGATGTCAATCCACGATTAAACCTGAAACTAAACAAACCGCTTTCAAATCGACACATGAAAATTAAATTAGACACAATCTAATAATACCTTGCTACAGTGCTGGTCAAAATATCACCCAAATAATCTGAATGGAGTGAACATAACAATTTATTTACTAGCACACAAGATTCATTCCATTCATGCACAAGTGAACATAATCACAGTAAGACAATAAAAGCACCACTAAGTTTGGCATATTAAGTCACAGTGAAAAAAAATAATAATATTAATAACCACATGACATCATCATGAAACCAAATAATAAACAATATTAATTTCACTGTCTGTTTTTTCTTTTTTTTTTGAAATTTTTCTATGTCATAAAGGTGAGATTTCACATCACACATCAAAGCTAAGTGTGCATAATATTTACTGGCCAACAGACTGACTGACTACATAATGTGTACATTTGCGTAGACACTTATCGTTTCAAGCTACCATAATTTAACACAGCATAGATGGAAAAGGATAATAAAAGTGAAACAGACAGGAGACAGTTATTTATGACAGAAGGTCTAGTTTTACGCGAGTTATTAACATTTGCAATATAAAAGACGATATGATGAGTGCACCAGATCCAATGTAAACTTACTCCAACAATTTCATAAATACTGTTCAACCACTGTTTCTAATGCATTGCGAGGACGTCGTCTAACAACTAATATTCACCTGTGTGGTTCACACCAACAACCAATGACTTCGTCGATCGTTCTGAGATACAAAAGTCTCGTCTGGAATTTCTCAGCCTGTATCATCTCTGTCATATACGTGATATCCAGTTGTTTACCAGAGGATGTATTAACTTGCAAGAGTTCACTCTGTGCCTCTGTATGACCATGAGACATTGTGTTGAAAGTAAAATATAGGAAGAAGTTAATTGTCCTAGGGTTCAAACCTCAGTATCATGTAGTTTATCATGGTCAGTAATGTTCACTGTTAAGCGCAGAGTGTTAGGTGATGACAGGAAGTCAGCCGACGAGGCTGTGAAACTTCGTTGATTGAAATGACCAGAAAACGCATGTTATTCATACAAAACCACCGCTTTGCTTCTCCGACAATGCTGACTGATGTAGGATAGAGTTGAGAAAGAGTTAAAGAGTGAACAAATCAAAAACAGGCATCAGGTCATTAAGTTCTTAACCGTTGGTTTGAGTCATTCATAAGTGGCTGGAATCCTCAAGATGCTAAGAAGTAATGAATGGAAACTGTTGGCTCAAAGCCATACTCATTAGCGCAGACGTATTATGCTTTTGATGGTGTGGCTAACCCATTGAATTTTCACTATTCTCTACGTGATTATTTCTTCTCCTAAATATTTCTATTTTTCCCAGCTTTTTGTATTTCGTTTTTGTACTCAATGTATACTCTATAAAGTGTGGTAACTTAAATCTCTGGGTTTTTGTGCAAAGTTCTGCGATGAAAGTTCAATTCAGCAATGTTTTGTACGACTGCCTATGACTACTTTATAGCTTCATTTCAGTTTACTTAAAACTGTTCATGACTAAAACAGTGTGACATATTTTTATATCACCGCAAACAATAAATATCTACAACCCTACTAAATAATTTATCTCCCTCACCAGCATCATGCTTGAAAAGTTAAATTTCAATTACTACTGTTCCAAACAAAGCTACTTACTGCATGGATACAGCTATAGTCAAAAACTGTAGTGTTTTCATATCTTCTACTTTCAGTGAGCATGTTATGTAACCATATAATGAAACAAAGTGGACTGCTATTCTCAGGATGGCACCATGAGTTGACGAGTGCTGGGCAAGGCTTCGGTATTCGTGCTGAGATTTTACTGGCATATTCAGTCGTTCCTCTGTTTGAAGTTTAATCGGAAGTTGGTGCAGACCAGTTCTTCTTCAAAATCCTAAGTTTTACGGGTACAAAGCTCGCAGGAAATCCAGTTTAATTTTCATCCAACATGTTTGTAAGTATGTATGTTGTCAGCATTCTTGCTTTACAAGGTTTTATTATACGATTAATCTATGCTGACAGTTTTCTCCCAGCAGAAATTTCTTTAGATTTCGGTATCAAACGGACTCACTTTCAAGATCAGTAACACTGAGTAGCTCCAGAGAACAACTCATATAATCGTCGCTTCAGACAACATGGATACTTGATTTAGTGTGCCGTAATTTATTGGCACTTCACTCAAAATCAAACATTCCCCAACATTTGTCAGTCAAAAAAGCCAAATGTCACTTTTAACTAAAGAAATAGGGCATTTGTCAGAGGCTAAAATTATGCCTATGTTGCACAGTTTGTTCACTTGTAAGAACTTGATCTCTGGGTCGTTTTCCAAGCCTGTGGCTTGCCTCGTTTCTTACAGGTTTATTCTCCCCAACTCTGCATAACGTCTACATGACTTCAACTACAAACGTTAATCTTAGATACTACCATGTTTAATATTAGTTTAATATTAGCCAGGCTGATTCGCCTGTGGCTACTGCTGGGCGACTTATCTTAATTTACACAGAGTGGAATGGGCAGTAACTCTGATGGAACCTACTCAGTTAATAGTACAGAAACTAGTGCACCATTCAGCTCCTCAAAACTTCTTTAACATCACCTGTAAACATTTATAGAGTTCATTCATCATGTCTTGCTGCATTGTCTTGCTTCAGGCTACAGAAAGTATCTGCGGTCTCGGTTAGAGAGGAATGGCGAATGTCTACATTCCAACACAAGATAGGTTATATGCCCAGCGACTCACATATGTTTGGAGATTCTATAGGCTTTGAACAGGTTACCAAATACCGACTTCATTTAGTGACCTAACTGTTAAAAGAGTTTCTAAAATAAACAAAAATTGTAATGAAATGTTAGAGCCTCCAACTTTATAATAATTTAAAGATAGTGATGTGGTTATTAAAACATACTTTGATAACAGTGAAATGGCCCATCCATCAACAGCTATATCTTGAGTTGCTGCGAAAAACATGAGCAAGAAAAATGCCGCCGTTATTCGGGGTATTTCAACTGGATGATCAGAACCAAATTTACTCCAGAGATTAGTTGGATCTCGCCCAAACCATTCATTAATATACCTTGCCATGACGATTAGCTCAATTCCTATTGCATACTGGGTTATTATTAGCCAAGTTTTCCGCCGGCCAACGAATTTGCAGTAGACCGAATCAACTATCGGCGCCCAAAGGAGTTTAAAAGAGAAAGGATAATGATTCAGTGAGAATGCTGCCAACGCTCCGTAATCTGCACTGCGAAGACTTGATTGAAAAAGCAAAGGGATGGCCGCAGAAATTCCAAGAGGGATTCCCTAAAATATAAAATGTATATCTCCAGATAATAATGGCTGCTTTTGAATGATAATACTGAAGATAAAGACAGTAATTAACTACAGAAAGAGAAGTAAAACAACTCTAGCCTAACAACTCATCATGGACCAGTAACAAGTTCATAATCATCAAGTGTTTTGTGTAAATCTACATTTTAGATTGGGAAGATTGGGACTGTCAACTTCATTAAGTGTTTCCATACTACCAGTAGTTAGCAATAATCCAAGGTTTTCATTATACGCCCTTAAAAGACAGAAAGTGTGAATGTCTTTGCGAAGAATATGATATAAAATTTGCAAATCAGTTTTGTCAGGAAGTCCACCGTAAATCACCTTTTGAACTATATGATAACAAAAAGCTAATTTCTGTGAAAAGATGAAAATAAATTAAACATCTTTTAAAGAAGTACTTTGGCTAAATCCCTGATAAAACACTTCACCCAGTGTCATCTAACAGACTTTACAAGTGCGGGATCGGAATGATCTTTCTCAGGGATATGATCAGTTTCAAACCTTCTAATTAAGGCCAAAGTAGGTAGACGTCACAGCGCAGCCCTAAATTCATTGTTTAAATAAGTGAAGATCACTAAGATTTCCACAGCTGTTCTCATTTATAGTACAGAGGCAAGCTATTGTCATATTATGGTGTACACTTCCTGGCTGGTTGGGGTTCTCGGGACGGTGAAAACCAATGGTTGGAAACAATTGGTCACATGGCTCAAAATCGTTCTCAATGGCTGGTGAAGATGCATCCACTCCTTGTGGCTTATGATTTCCAATGAAACTATATTGTTCTTCGTTATTGCTATTCTTTCGTCTCACACCTCTGTTTATTTATTTATTTATTTTTTTGATTTACAGCTTGATTCCACACTGTATTTTCGGTACAAGTATGGAATTTTCAGCATGGATATCGGTAGCCCAAGTTTTGCAGGCCGACCATAGATATCAGGTGTGCGCCGGCGGGGGCTCGAACCTCGGACCATGTGCATGGTCGGCGAGAGTCCTAACCACTGTGCCACTGTCTCTATTATGCATTTCTCGTACTTTCTTCTGTTGCTTTGTGTGCTACAAGGAGGGAGTGTGGCGACTTGAACTGCCACACATATGTGCAAATTTCTATGCCGGAAACAGACAGACAGATTGTCATATTATTGCTTAAATAACCATATTCGATAACATGGGATGTAACTTGTGTGCAATTTGAATAAGAAAGTCAAAAGTTACTTTGCAATTAGTGCAAAGATTAATCAGGTCTCTGTCTGTCCGTTGGTCTGTATTTATAATCTTTAAGACATAATTTGAAAGCAGTCGAAGTGTCTGATCTAACTTCCTCAAATGTCTCTAGTCTGTAAATATATGTCAAGCCAGGTGGAATACATAATACGTGAATTACCAACAGTTATTTTCAATGATTATATTAATAGCTTAACTCTAACTGATAATGCAGAATTATTGCACAACAGCTTCACTAAGACTTCTCTTGTTTTAGGTTAACTTTTCGTCCCTAAAAATTTATTTACGAACATACGAGGGAAAGTGTTTTCGATCTGCTGTGAGACCAATCAAAAGATAAATGAACGAGCAAGTTATTGTTTACCATAAAGGTATGTGAAGAGCGAATATTTTCATCTTATTTTTGTTAAATTTCAATGCTCAAAAATTTTTAGCTTGCTTTGTAAATGCACATATTACTTAGTTTGACTTAGACGGGAACCTAAATTAAAAAAGTGGAAACTATCAACTTTTCCACTTTTATGAAGTACAAACTATGAAATCACTCAACAATAAAGACAAGTAAAATAACTGAAAGGCATTTTAGCGCTTTAATGAAGAACAAAATAAAATGGTCTAGAATTCAGGGAAAAATAAAATCAAGATTTTAATGTTAGCCTTTCACTGATGTATTGCTAGTAATTACCTTTCAATAAGTAAAATCTATCTTCCCAATAAAGTGGTGCCAAATTTTAAGAGACTGCTTTCTGAAAATGTCAGGGAATATTTGTAAGCTAATAAAAAATTAGGTAGGTGCTTCTACTGAATCCAAGTAATAAAGTAACTCATTAAGAGAATGCACATAAGAAGAATCTAAGTTATACATGGCATAACAATCGGTTTAAACTGCATGTCTCATTTAGGGTTAAGTAGAGTATTATTGTTAAGGTTATAAATTACATTATGCATGTCATTTTTAACTAACCTGAAAGATATATAGAAGAATCAAAACGAGAATCTTTGAGGTATCTTTGGATTGGATAAAAACTTTTTGGAGTTTTTGTTTAACAGAACTTAACATATTGTTTTCTTAAGTTTGTATAGCGGGATCAAATGAACATTTCAAAACGAGTGCTCGCATTCAATATCCAATATTTTTCCGATCCAATATCGTTTTTACGAGCTAATATAAATCAATTTGATTTCTTTGAGTTTGCCTCATTATTGTGAGGTATAGTTTCTTGATCTTCGGTTAACTTCTGCGTAGCTTGTTCTGCCACTCGTCTGTCGTTGCTTTGGTTGACTCCAAAAGGAGTAGTGCTGAGATTAATTATATGTCGTTTGTAGTATGAGGTGTGTTAAGACTGTTACTACTGTGAATGGAGTTGATCCTTTCACCGGTTAGTCCTCCGGTATCGTCGTCAAAAGAAAAGAGATGATAATAATAATAGATATAATTAGTGAAGTTATTCAGACTAACATACAGAAAAAGAAATAAGAAAACGTAACAACAGTCAGCTGGTGAAATCTGAAGAATAATATGAATAATATGTATATATATATATATATATATATCGGTAGCAACAATAATAATAATAGGTGTAGTTAAAATTGTCAGGAGAGTAAGACGAGAGAGAATGTAAAGAAGTAAAACGACAAGTTTAATTGTCTACCCCTGAATGGTGTCTGGGATTTTAAGGGGATAGGCCATTCGGATGCAGTCCTTGTGTCGCTGCATGGTTGTCCAGCCTTCGCTTAAAGGCGTCCACAGACGGTGCCATAGCCATATCTGCTGGTAAGGAATTCCGGGGACGGAAAACCCGCAGCGAAAAGAAGTGGGAGCGCACCTGGGTCCTTGCCCTCAGGTGACCTATCCTTCTGCAGTTTCCACGAGGGAGCCTATACCTACTCAGTGGCAGAACACCTATGTTTGGGTGATTTCGGTCATTTGTTATTTTGTAGGTGGTAATTAAATCCCCCTTATGCCGATGGTAGCTAAGTGTGAACGGGCCTAATTTCTTCAGCCTTTCACCAGATGGTTTATTTCCGAGACCAACCAATTCTTTTTGTTGCCCGTCGTTGGACTCTTTCCAAGAGGTTGGCGTCTCTTCTAAGCATTGGGGGTGCAATAATATTATGCACTTCAAGGTGTGGTCTGACGTATGTTTTGTACAACCTTAGAAAGAGCCCAGGAGTGAGTTTACCCAAATGTCTGTTTGTAAAGTGTATAACCGAATATGGTTTTCTTTCCGACATGAATCGATACAAGTTTTTGAAGTTCGCTAGGATTCTTTTGGCAAGGTTAGCCTGGTATGACCTCCTATCACTCCTCACTCTCGCGTTGCACCGGTTGTTGAGTTCCAGGTATGCGTCGTGGTCGATCTGACTCTTAGATACGCGCTACGTAAACCAAGCCTTCCGCTTTGCTTCTTTTCTTCAGCCATGTTAACATACTTTTATGGTGTGTTGTGACTAAAAGGATGGTATCCGAGACTGCTGTATGAATAATCTTTTTTACCACCTCCTGGCGTTCATCCACAGATAGCTCATTCCACGCTAAGGGCCAGTCTACGTCGGACAAGAGCCTTCACATTTCAGCATAGTCAGCCTTGCTATAACACAGACATGGTCGCGTAACGTCCCACTGCAAATTCTCACGGAGAACGAGATCGAAACTTATGGCTGCATGGTCACTACTTCCTAGAAGAGTCATGATCTGGACCTTTTTGACGAGTAGTTGGCCACTACTTAGAATGTAGTCTAGTTGTGATGACTTTCCACTAGGGCTCTAACTAGAGTCGTCTCCAACATTCTCAGTCAGTCCCGCATTTCGAATAATTTGCAGTATATTTCCATCGAATTTTCCCTAGGCATACCCCGAGCCAAGGTTCAGTGGTGGGGCATTTAGATCTCCAGCTGTGGTGATTTGGTCATAGCCCAAGTTCCATATCCATGTGATAGTGTTGAGCAGTAGCTGGTTGTGCTCTGCCACATAGGTAGGTGATCGGTAGATGTTACCCATAAATGCTTGGTGTGGCTTACGGTGAAATGACACCATATGGAGTCTAGGAGTTCAATAAGCGGTGGGTCCGTTGCGCGCACACTTTGAAGTTGTCTGTCAAATTATGTAGGTACTCCCCCTCCTTCCTTATTATCCCTGTCCCTCCTGACCAGAACCACATCACCTATATTTATTTCGTTGTCGGTGATATTGGGGGTTAGCCAAGTTTCAGTGAGAGTGATTATTTTAATTTATGGGCGTGATTGGAGATTTCGTAGTTCGCCTACTTTTCCTCTCAGGCCCCTCACATTGCTATATATGTAGCTGACAGTAAGTCTCTCAACCTAAGTGTGCTGTGGGGTAGCCGATATGAAACTGTCTGCTGCTAGGGAACTTAATGTTTGGACTAGTTGGCCGATTCCGATGGAACCGGAATATATGGTTATACTTCAAAATTGGTGTTGTTGTGCTTTTAATCAAATCAACCAGCAACTCTATGATAGAGTCCAGAGAAAAAAGAAAAACGTTGGCAGATACGAAAGGGCAGAGCACACTCATGACTCTGTGATTTCATTCAGATGCTCAATGTTACCTCGAAGGGATCAAGTGCTTGGGCCGTATCGACATCAGTGAGTACGTTTAAAAGAGGAAATGTGGAAAGGAGGCAAAGGTCGTGAAAAACGGAAGGAAGATTATCATGTGGGAGAATTATAACGCCTAAATGGTTTTCGAGGTAACATGGTGGCCATATAAATTGAGTCTTTTGGGGGATTAAACTGTTTGGGCCACGTCTGTGTTACTGCCATCCGATGAGTGTTAATTCCTGAGTTTCCCTATAAACTGTTTTGTTTCTGTGTTCTTGGAATTGAGAATTTTAAGCAATCCATTGGCTTCAGTCAGATTGCCTTCGATTCTTTCACAGGTGCGCCTGAAAACCTCAGACTGTGAGACCGGTTTTTTCGGTCTGATGACAACTATTTTCATCCTTCTTGAGAGTATTTCACAAATAATTATGTCTGACTTGAAACAAATGCACGAAAACTTGTGGACTAAGAGAAGTGGTCTTTAACATGCTTTCTGGAACTGAAGCGCACGGGCACTGCATGCCTAATTTATCAGTGCCAGTCTATTTTCCTCTTGGGATGTTTTATCAACTGAATTCTCAGTAATTCTGCTAAGGGTTTATTCCATTAATTCAACCGTAAAATTCGGCTGATCTTTCGCCAAAATACACTGTGGCAAGTACGTTTACTCGGGTTAATAAGCCGTCCACTGAAACCACCACTGTCAGCCAGGGTACACGACCTCATTCTGATACAAGCCCTGAGAAATTTGTTTGTAGAGAAAACCTTTCCTGAATTCTTTTTGTTTTACAAAGTCGACCATACAGCTAACTACAGTGGTCGTTTTCCTTAAATCAGCAAAGCCAGACGGAGCTCTCTTGAACGCAATAAAAACGGACCCAGAGATTGCTTCGGATGTTCTCATGCCAATACTGCAAAAGGTTTGGAGGAGAGGAGAGGTGCTTACCTACTGAAAGAAAGGCTACCTAGTCAAACTACCAGGGAGGGGCCAGTTCAACCCCTACAGGCACTGATGTGGGAAAATGGTCTCGTCCACTACAGGTAAGGCGCTAGGTTGCATCGTCCTGGGGTAAATGAGATGTACTAAATGAAGAACACCGCCCGATTTCAAAAAGGCCTTTGACAGCGTTAAGTGAAAAATATTTGGGAACTACCTTGACACTTTAAGTGCGGTACCCCGATTCTTCACCATTCTCATTTAACAGCTGGCCATATGACCATGGATGTGCTACGTGATCCACAACGGAAAACTTAGTGGGGCGATCGAAGTGATTACTGGCGTAAGACAAAGTTGTCTACCTGTTATCACAGACGATATTCTTAGTTGTGGTGGACTGGATTTTGCGTCAAACTGTGCATGGGGACTGAGAAGACAGCACTACGCTGGACCACCAACAAGAAGACTCTGGGAGACTTGAACTTCGCGCGTGGATGATTTATGTTTAGTGTCCCGCAAACTCAAGGACTTGCAGTTAAAAAGGAACACACTGGCTGAGGAAGCAGCCCCAGAATACAGTACTGCTTTTGAACACAGAGAAAGCGGAAGAAAGGAAGAGAAACAATGAACGGTGACAAAAACCTTCACGACCACTATCAATGGGAGAGATTTAGCAGAGGTTGCCTGCTTCACTTATCTAAAAGGCATCGTTTCAACTGCGGTCAGGATCGAAAAGGCAGGATAAGCCGTCATCAACCTGAAACCAATTTTGAAGTCTACTGCAATCACTCAGCACAAAGAACAAGTTTCGGATTTTGTTCGCAAATCGCAAGTCAGTTAGTTCTTCTATACGGCTCAAAAACTTGACCAGCGCGTCGCGAAAAGGATTTCCAACAGGTTGCAGACTTTCAACAACAGCTGCTTTATCGCTGGCTCCACACCAGAAGGAATTAGCAACAAGGAACTCTGACTGGGAACAAACCAACTGGAGAGAGCTGACTGCCAAACAAATATGTAGGGTAAATGGAGATGGATCGGAAATACATACATTTCTAGGGGTGAGAGTTTATGATCAGTCGTTTGGCTAGCCAGCTAAGAGGACGACAGAAAACAGAAATGAAGATGTGTTGCTGAAGTCCTACGTTCTACTCGGAACCCAAGGGAATAACAATAGATAGTAATAATTTCCTTAAGTCTCAACGACCCATCGAATCAGAATATATCTGGAGGTTCGGCTACTCACTTGGTGTCCAGAAGGATCTGACGTTGACTCGGTTTTCGAACACAACTCTTTCGAATAGTGGTTTCACTACTGAGGCCAAAAGGAGTTATCAAAGCAGTACTTTGACCAAATCAACACTCTAGCGCTTAGCTTAGTAATATGGACTGAAAATAGCACAAAATTCAATTGGATCTGCTCCTTCTAGTACTGTTACGTTTTCGAAGTCTCTCTCTTAGGTACAGCAACGACCTATCCCACCATGTGAGGAGCTTAGTTTTTCTTTACACTGATGACATTAAGAAACGGAAAAAAGAAGTTTCGGTTACTTAGGCAGACCAGAGGCGGAACAAACAAATTCTTGAGCCTGGGCAATGATCAGCGGAGTGTCTTTTTGTTAGGTAGGCAGATAAACAATG